GTCATGCGGCGCGTTGAACACAGCGTTTTTAAATTCCCTCTCACCATAGCTTACCCCTTAATTTATTTGAGATACGTGGATGATATTCTTTTAGCGTGGCAGGATACGGAAGATTCCTTCCGGGTATTAGATCATCATTTATCAAAAATATATGCCACTATACACTTCACGTGGGAGAAGGAAGTTGGGAGAAAAATTGCTTTCTTGGACTTGCACATTCAAAAATCCCAGGAGGGCTTGGAGTTTTCCGTTTACCACAAATTTGGAAATATCCCACCCATAATACCGGCCACAGCCTGTCAGCCACAGCAATATGTTAATGCGGCCATAGCCCCCTTGATCAGACGGGCATTCTTACTACCATCGACACAACATCTTATCAATACCGAACTGGAGGCTGTCCGCACAGCGGTGTATGCGGCGGGATTTAGTGCCTCCAAATACATCCATGTCAAAAATAGAGTTATACAGTCTCTCTTCCCTGCCACCACATTGCGCAGACCAATGGATTGGACAACGCTCCGTCCCTCACTCCCATACTGTGGACGCTTCACGGCCCGGATCTGCCGGATTTTTAGGCAGAATGGCTTTCGTTTACCCATTGCCTCACGACCATGTCTGCGACGAATCTTATGTAATGATAGGGATGCTATTTCCACCATAGAGAATCTTGGATTGCTATGGACTGGTAGCATATTGGGCTGCAATTAGAAAATATTGTAGACTTATAAATTCTCTTTGTTGCTGTCTATCCATCTGTCTTTCTTTAATCTCAAGAATGGAGTTAGGTAGATGAAAGATGAGACCAGATATGGAAACCTTAGAAGCAGGCCCTGATTAACTATATACAACCTTCCAATGAAAATGGGAGTCATGTTATTTCAATTTAAAAATTTTTCCCTGAAAGGTATTGGGAAGTCCCAACTTGCTGGTGTTTAGAAATAACTTGGCATAAACTATAAAAACAACATTTATTTATAATACAAATCTTCTGATTCCAATATAAATAATTTTGGCGATACAACATAGAAAATATGGAGTGTAGCTTCTTCCATCTGGATGCTGAGACCTATAGTCCAAAAGTGTAAGTTTCTTCCTTTGTGTCTTCTTTTTCTTGTCCTCCTACATGATTGCTCCAGCCTCTTCACATCTTTTTGTGAATTAGTTTGCAACTTCAACAGCAATCCACCTCCAGCAATAATGAGATATTACAAGTATATAGGGTTGAATCTCACCCGATATCCTGAGCGTGTGACTAATGTGTCCTGTTGCTGCTGCAAATCTGCTGCTTTAGCCATTGGAGTGTGAGGGGTTGGTCTCAGCGATTGGTTGAGTTGTTGTTGTTTCTGGAATGCTCTCCACATCCTCCTTGCATATGCAGGCTGGCTTGAGTCTATCTAAATTGACATTGATATGTCAATTTCAATAGACTCAAGCCAGCCTACATATGCAAGAAATTGACATTGATATGTCAATTTCTCACTACTATCTTTTTTTTTTTTTTTATTTCCCCGTTTCAATACATGATATGGTCTTTCATAAGGCAGTTGTAACCCTTTTTGGACCACATCAGTTCACAAGAAGACATGGGAACAGGAGGCAAGATCTTTATGAACACTGCTGTTTTCTTGGAAAGATGTGATACTGGTCTGACTTTCTATATTTTCTCTCTCAGCCTATCAATGAAGATAGCTGGATTGAGATGATCCTTAACTGGGGAGAGGAACTCATCTGATAAACATAGGGGTGCTCAGACACAGACACACAGAACAGATGTATAAATTTAGTGTCAGTTTGAATAATGAATATTGTAACTAGACTAACGCCATCTATCGTGAAATCTCACTCTCCCTTCCCACTTCCTTGAAACTAATATGAGTTGTTTCCAGGGCTGTAGAGTCAGAGTCGGGAGGAATTTCTGGCCAGAGGAGTCGGAATCAGAGTCAGAAAAACTGTGTCGACTCTGACTCCCACATTTTAAATTTACTTTAATTTTATTTAAATGAAAGAAAATTTATTATAAATTTATTAACTCTTTAAAATCTTTTTGTATTTTTTATAATTTTTATAATCCGATTTTTTACTTATTTAATTTGACATATCAATAAAATTTAAAATAGCCACTTTATTAAAAATAATTTTTAACTATTGCAAAATATTGAATTAAAAACACTTACTGATAAAAAGTTATACATCCAGATAGAATTGTCTGATTACTGCAAAACTTGGCATACAGCTGTCTCTCTAACAGATATGTAAATGATTACAGTTCTGATTCAATTGCATGTCAGGTAATACTATCAGAGTGTCTTAAAATCATTATCCCAGTATCCTAAATAAGCCTGACAGAGGCTCGCTATCATCAGAATTTTCATTGTACCTGTATTTTGGATGTCTCTTAAGTACCAGGCATGTCTATACAGTCAAAGACATTACACACAGCTGACAGAATTTGAAAAGGTCTGCATCATCAGGTTGAGGGAAACAAGATAGCTATTTCACCAAACGTTGAACACAGCGTTTTTAAATTCCCTCTCACCATAGCTTACCCCTTAATTTATTTGAGATACGTGGATGATATTCTTTTAGCGTGGCAGGATACAGAAGATTCCTTCCGGGTATTAGATCATCATTTATCAAAAATATATGCCACTATACACTTCACGTGGGAGAAGGAAGTTGGGAAAAAAATTGCTTTCTTGGACTTGCACATTCAAAAATCCCAGGAGGGCTTGGAGTTTTCCGTTTACCACAAATTTGGAAATATCCCACCCATAATACCGGCCACAGCCTGTCAGCCACAGCAATATGTTAATGCGGCCATAGCCCCCTTGATCAGACGGGCATTCTTACTACNTACAAATAAATATTAATGTAAGTTAAATATTAAAAATACTAACTATAAAAGTATTTGGGTAAACACTCCAGACTCCTTTCAGAGTTCAGAGTAGGGTACCTCCTTCTTTGAGTGCCTCTGCCCCCATAAAATGACTTGGTATTTAATTTTGCAGGAGTTGGAGTTGGCCTACTTAAAATTATCAGAGTTTAGTGTTTTTTTTACCAACTCTGCAGCCCTGGTTTCCCCCTCGTTTTCAAATCCTGGGTACGCAGCTGTCTGAAACCCAATAGTAAGGAGTGTCATATCAGTTTGTAGAATGTGTCATTATTACTGATTTGAGTTGGCAATGGAATCACTACTTGGCTATTTGCAGACAGATGGTAAGGAGTTGTGCGAATTCTCTCTCAGTCCCTAGCCAAGAAGTGAGGGCTGAGAAAAGCAAAGATTCGAACTGGACTCCTTGGTCTGTTGTCAGGTGCAGTGGCAGATCAAAATGGCTATCCATCTTGAGTAGAAAGTCTCCGCTACTGCTTATGCAGTACTCTCAACTAAAGGGAATACTTCTGACCACTTAGAGAAATGGTCCACACAGGTCCCACCAAGTTTATGTGGATGTGCTCAAATCTAGTGTTAGGAGTAACAAAGATGCCCAGTTGGCTTTAAGTGTGACAAGAGACTTTCATTGAATGCATGAACAAGCCAAGCTGACATGTTGCCTCTCATTGATGGCCAAATGTATCATTCTTGGATGAGTTTAACTGAAGCTCTGACACCAGAGTGAGATAGTTCATGCAGATGGTTAAGAACCTGCCATCAAAAGTCCCTAGGCACAAATGGTTGTATTCAGCCAGTGAAAATGTTGCAGTATAAGATGCTAGCTGGTTCTCCCACTGGAAGTGGCTTTAAGATTAAAAAGTTAGGTGTATTACCTAATAATAAGCTTTTTAACTCTGTGTCTCCTTGTTACACTACTGTCATTTTTTGAAAGTTGATGAATGGCAGTGCCTCAATGGTAGAGATATTGATGCGAGAAAGAGCATTCACTATGACATTGTCATCTCCTTTTACGAAATGAATGCCCGTAGTGAATTGAGCAATAAAATCCAAATGTCTCAGCTGTCCAGGGGAACACTTATTGTCTTTTGTAAATGGCTTATGGTCTGTGAACAATACAAATGGACAGTCTTTGACCATATGCCAAAGGTACTTGATGGAGGTGTATGCAGTAAACAGTTCTTGATTGTAGGCACTGTACTTTTGCTGTGACAACGAGAACTTTCTGCTGAAGAAAGCTAGAGGCTGCCAGCTGTTGGACACTTTTAGTTGCAGTGCAGCTACCATTGCCATGTCAGATGCATCTATGATGATTGCCAGCAGTGCTTTGGCTGATGGATGAGCCAGAGTGGCAGCTTCCGCTAAGTCCTTCTTGCACTTCTCAAAAACCTCTGCCTCCATCTGCATCAATTTGATATTTCGCCTATCATTCTTAGTCACCCCTTTAAGATAGATGTGTAAGATTGTCTGTGTGAACCACATCGGGAATAAACCTCCTGTAGAAGTTAACCATCGCTAAAAGACGAGAGCTCTTTAATGGTCTTAGGTTTCGGGAAACCCATAAACCTAAGACTGTTACCCACAAGATAGATTTAATGAATTTAAATTGTAAATTTGATAATGTGTTTGAAGATTTTTAAAGACTAAATGTGTATTTACTATTTGATTTGTTCACCAAATGTAAGTTTACTTTATTGTTTACCTTCTAGTTTTATTGTTAAAATCAGGAATTTATTTGTTCCTTTGTTCTCATACTGTTTATTATGTAACAACTGTATAACAACTGAAGAGGGATGATATGAGTTCAAAATGCATTTTGTTAAATGCACCTAAAAAAGAATAAAAAGAGTTATCTAAATATATAAAATTGCTTGTCCTGACTGACTGACTGAATGACTCACTGATTCATCATCGCCCAGAGCAAACCCCTTAACCTAAAGAGGTGAAATTTGGTAGACAGTTAGGGTATCTCTTCTTCTTAGAAAATCTCTTCTTAGTGTGTGTTTCCACACACTAAGAAGAGATTTTCAGAAATTCCCCCACAGGGGGAGAGGATTAAGGCTTAACCGGAAGAATGCAGAGCCGGCCCTACCATAGGGCGAACGGAGCAGCCGCTTCAGGTGCTAAGTCCTATCGGGCGCCTCAGTGGTAAAGAAAATTAAAGGGTGTAAATTAGGGGCAACCAAGGGGGGCGTCATAATAGGATCTCGCTCCATCCTAAAACTTGCCTCGGGCCGGCACTGGAAGAATGGCTTCTACTGTACTATTTTAGATGCAATTTTTTTGTTTTATCTGCATTTTAGTGGGGTACGCCATGAGAATGGACACTAAGAAGGAATTTTTCTAAATTCCCCCACGGGGGAGAGGGAGAGGATTAAGGCTTAACTGGAAGAACAGCTTCTACTGTACTATTTTAAATGCGATTTTTCGTTTTCAACTATGTTTAATTTTCATTGAGTACTTAGATGTATTAAATTGATAACATTTCAGACATTGTTATAAATATTTTTTATCTATTTCGATTTTTAAAATGTTCGAACTGTTTTAAATTCAAATTTGTTATTGCATATTGGTTCGATTATAGAACGATTGTAAACGTTCCAGAAAATTGATCATATTGAAAATAGTTCGTCTGATTCTCGGCAATTCTCTTCAGCGGTAGATGTTATATAACAATTATCATGGTTATTGAAATATTGAATGTAAATGGGGTTTGCTTGCAAAACCTCCACGGACGAAGTTGCAGGTAACAGCTAGTAACATATAGAAGTCATCGTGATAAGTTTGGGAAAACAGCACTATATAATTGCTGAAATAATAATCTGAATAAATTGTTTCTTTCATTAACAAATGTATCTTTACAACAATCTTTACAATAATTGCTCAAAATTGTGTCCACCAACAACAAGACACACTTGGCAGTGTTGATAGAGTAATTGCTGTGTACAGTTTCAAAGATGCCAGGTATTTCTCTCACGTGTGCAGCCGCAACGGTATTCGAGTAATGAAGTCCTCAAAAGAGTCAACCGGATTCTTGTAAACGAGGATCTTCAGATGTCCCCATAAGAAGTAATCACAGTTTTGAGCAATTATTGTAAACATTTCTGTAAAGACGCACATGTCAACAATGCTGTAAGTAAACAATTTATGTTTCCTTTCATGTGTTATTTCTTGAGTCTGTGCTTCACGCATCACTTGCACCCATACCTGCCTATACAAAAAATGTATTTTGTTGTGTGTTCTACCACCCCTTAAAATTTGTCCCTTGAGTTCTGAAATATATATATATATATATATATAAACATAAATGACAAATAATTGATAAGATAAAATAAAATATATTTTGCTGTAAGAACATTTTCAAAATACATTTGTAAATCAAAACTTTTCTTTATGATTTGCATGTTATTTCACATATAATTTAAAATTTTGTTTATTGCTGCAATACATATTTGTAAATGTCAGTTCTGTGAAAACTAAAATGTGCAATCCATTTGTATAAAATCTTAACATTTTTATTCTTGAAGTAATAAATATATTTAGAGTAAAAATAAATTTGTGTTAATAATTTTAAGAATCAATTTATTTGATTATTCTCCTAAATTTGAAAATTTAAATTTTAAAACTGTTAATATGATTTAAAAAGATTTTTTTTTCTATTAGTAGGTTGTTTATTAATTTTGCTTAAACTGTAATTAAGAAATTATATTAAATGATTCTATAATTATATGTTATGTTAATGCTAAAATGTAAAAGAAGAAATATTAATTTAAGTATTTTTAATTCTTAGTTTAAACAGTTAATGATTCATAAAACTACTTGCAGATTATTGTAATTTTTAAAGTGTTTCAGCAATTATAATATTTAAATATTATAATTTGATTTGTAAACATATTTATTCTATGTTTAAATAACAGAAAAATATGCATTTTATACTTTTGTTGAAAATTGTGTTCAGTTTTAAGTAGTGCAATATGTATTTTTTTGTTTTAAAATTTTTTTAGAAATCTGCAAGCATTGATATATTTTCATGATGATGATATATAAATGAAGATAATTAAATAATATTTTTTCTTTCTGTTATGGCAGCAAAAAATATGAGAATAGATGGAGGTAAAATTGTTTAATTACTTTTTCTTTATAAACAATATATTAAGAACAATGCATATTAGGAAATGGAATTGGCTTCAAATTTATTTCTTGCTTTTAGAAGAATGATGAAGAAACATGAACCAGTTTATCAAGCATTATGGGCAGGTAATACAGAATTTGATGAAGTCCTAATATCTCCTGTTATGATACAGGATCATATGCCAGATAAAGTCTTGGATGCACTTGAAAAAGTAATTATTTCTATATATTTTATAGTAAAATATTTATTAAAATAATTAATTCATTGAAAATCTATATATAGTTGTTAAAAGACATGATTATTATAGATTTTTAAAACTAGTTATTTATTTAATAATAATAATTTTTCATTTTTTTAATAGTTATTAATAAATACTGGCCCTGCTAAACCCCAAAGACTGTTAATGGAATCAGAATGTCATCAGCTTCTTAGTCCAAGTGCAGATACTTTAGATTCAACTCTTGATAGAACACCACCTCATAGATTAGTACTTGAAACAAGTTTTACTGATCTTCAACCTGAAGGTGTAGCTGTGGAAGATATACCAAGTCAAGGGAACATGAAGCATAGTTTAAGTTGGGAATACAGCAGTGTGGTAGCAGCTGCCTTAGACACTAGTTATCAAAACCAAAAAAGACTTCAATCTCTTAGTGTACAGCCAAATTCTTATCAAAAAGTAGATTTAGTGCATGATGAATGGATGGGTTCTGCTCCCTTAGCTTCACCAGAAACCCTTTCAGATGTTTCCTCAGTATCATCTAAAGGAAGTCATCAGAAACTTAATAATGGCAATGTGTCCAATAGACTATCTTGGGGAGGTGTTCCTGTTATGGAAACCATTGTCCAATCCCCAGCTGTGCAGCGTCCCACACAAGATTCATTAGGAGTTTATGAAAATCAAAGGAGTGATGCACGGCAAGGTGATTTTGGACACATGTTAGATGATATGGGTATAAATAGGGCTAATTCAACATCAAATTTATTAACGAACTGTAATCCACAAGCTGTTAGTACACCAGTAGGACATCAAGTCATAACAGAAGCAACTGTAGAGATAGATCCAAATAGTCTGCATGCCAGTAAAGAAGTTTCTTCAAGAAGTATGGACCCATCACAGTTAAGATTAAACATTGAATCTTTGTGCCAAGAGGCAAAAACCAAACATTCTGGTGGTGATAGTACTTATGCCAGTACAAGTACAGAAAGGACAATTGATCGTTTATTCACACCACATGAGCCTAAACGTGTAACTTTTGAACTGTCTGATAGCCAAGAAAGCCAAGAAACAGAAAGAGATGATTCTGCTGATAGTCTCTACAACTCTGGTGAATCATTTGTACCAACTTATCCAGAATACACTACACAGCAAGAGTATGGAAATCACCTATACTCTTATGCACGACACAGTTATAATAATCACACGCCACCTTCTTCTCCAACGATAGAACACTCTTATTCTGACATCCAGTTAACATCTCTCATGAATCGGTCAGTGCAACAGAGTCATGAATCCTCTCATGTTTTATATGAACCTCTAACACAAAAAACTTTGAGTTTAGATACAGATTCTACCATTTCAAAAACGCCAATAACTAAGCATCTGACTTCGCCACCACCTCCAACAGAAAGTAGTTTATAATGTTTTTAAAATTTCTGGTGCTTCAGACACCACTTCTGCTGTATATCATCTAAAAGTTCTTCCAAATAACCAGCTCGTATCTGGTAAATGTGATAAAGCTCAAAGTGTGAAATTTATATTTAAAGCATCTTATGTATGTACTAATGTTCTCATTCTACACCAAACATCACATCCCATGTACTAATGTTATTCAGATTAGTATGTGGAAAACTAAATGTATATAAATATATTTATAATCTCTAATGTTTACATATATACTGTAACATATTGGGTTCAAAACATTTCAGTATTTGATGTCAAATGTTCCTTTAAGAAAAACTTTTACAATAATACTCCGGCCTATAATTTGAAAAGAGAAAGTCTGAATTTTTGAAAAAGTATCATTAAAAAAAAATGGTGAATTTTTAAAAAAAGAAAACAAAAATTCATTGAAGAGAATAAATTTTTGTGTAATATTTTATAAATAACTGTATTGTACACAACAAAACATTCTTGTGACTTGTTATTATTTGTTTAGGATATAAAATTCCCATCAGCCTTTGATTAAAAAATATATAGATTACTTTAAATTATTGGTTTATTTTAATTATTTTTCAACTCGACCAATATCGTACTATGCATGATTGTTATTTTATATTTAATATTCCGGATGCATAATTTAAAAACTTACTGTTCTGATAATAAAATTTTTACTTTTCAGAAAATGTGTTGTGATTATCAAATAAGTTGTATATATTATATATAATGTTAAGCAGTTTTTAAATTATAAAAAAAAATTTATATGATAAACCTCAAAGAATATAATACAATATCTCAGATATCATATTTTCCTGTTTAATTTTAACAAATGCAGCCAACAAAATGAAAACTTAATAAATTTTAACTTTTATGCATTAATTTCAAAGCATTGTGGATAAGCTTAAACAAATATATGATTTGCTTAATTGACAAGGATAAAAGTTAAAAAATATCATTTGCATTTATTTTCTAGCAAATTTTAAAAATATATTTTTTCAGATTTTTCAAAAATTTCAAATTCTTGGACCAAAAAATAATTCAACTTATGCCTTTGCATTCAAAAGCAGATGAATTTTCTGGTTGCCTTGACAACTCTCCAAACAATAAATCTAGTTTTGAATTAATTGACATACAGTATTAATAATAATTATAAAATAAGTTTATAATTAATATGTCAAGTAGTAGCATTTTAATAACTTTTAGTTTTGATAACAATGTAAAAAATTCAACTACATTCACCTAAAATAAATTTCTTAAGAAAATATAAAATTTATTACTATGTTGATTAGTTACTAGCTGATATTTACCGCATAATATTAAATGAAAATACATATTAATATTAAGATTAATGATACTCACAAGTCAGTGGTGTAACTAAGATTTTGTTCTAGGTGTGATCTGGAAAGATGATCTAAAAAAGCACTGTACAGTCAGAATGAAGAAAAATACCATTTATTTCTAAAGAAGAATAATTATTAATCCTTAACTGAGATGGTGTAAATCAGGGGTGTCCAACCTGTGGCCCACATGCGGCCCAAGGCAAGTTCCAATGCGGCCCAATAAAGGTGTAAACAAAACCGACAAATGTTTTCATTTTTTTATTATTTATTTATTTCAACGGCATAAACTCAGAAAAGAAGTTTCACAAAGCCATAAATCTTTATTCATATTTTAGTTTTAAGTGGAAATGAAATATTTTCATGTACTTAGAGATGTGTGAATGAGGAAGGATTATTAAATAAAGCTGGAGTTGTGACTCAAAGGATTATAGACCCAAATTTGGTGAAAGGAGAGAAAGGACAAAAGATAAAAAGTTGTCAGAAAGGTAAAATAGTTCTTCTGTTAGGCAAATATTGAGTCTTAATTTTCCAACCTTTCTCACTTCTTTATCTTTTGTCCTTTCTCTTCTTTTTCCGAATTTGGCTCTATAATCCTTTGAGTCAAAACTCCAGTTTTATTTAGTATCCCTTCCAGCGTTGCAAGATTTAGCTACTTTGCGCCAAATGTGGCTACTTTTTTTATCTTAACCTAAAAAAATATCATTTGGAGCTTTGACTACTTTTGAGGCTACATATCATTTATAAATATAATAGTTGAATAAAAATGCGCTTTAAAATGGTGTTTCGTCGCTTTTTATTAATCAGAGACTCAAATAAACCAAATATTTGCGTTTTATCAAATAAATGAATTTATCTATTTCTAAGTAAAAATTGAAAGTGTCTGTAGAAGCAATTTTTTAAAATATCCTGTTTCGTGTTAAATACTTATTATTATAATCTAGACATGTTAATCCTTAAATATACTTGTACATTGGGCCACAAGTATATATTATATATGGTTGTGGCCCAAAACTCCTTGACTTCTTCCAATGCGACTCAGAGAAACAAAAAGGTTGGACATCCCTGGTGTAAATCAAAATGACCCTACTTAGATTTTTTTTAATTTTGAAAGTAAACAACAAGACATTTCTTTCTTTAACCCTTTATTTAAACGTTTCTAAACAAGACAAAATATTCTGTAGCGAAAAGCTAAATGCAATTCTAAACATTATTAATTTTACTTTCCCGGTTGTTATGTATACATATAACGGAAAGTAAATCATGTCAAATTTGACCCTTAAAGTATTTTGCAAATCTCCACGTTTTGACACCTCCTGAAACCAAAAAAGTAAAAAAGATAAAAAATAGAAAAATATTCCATGTGTGTGTGTTAGCGTCTATAAGAAATCAAATTTGGCATGGTAGTTTGTGTGTGGGATCATTGATGCTATTAAATTTTGATGGTTAAAGGTTGAAGGGTGAGTCATATCTCCAGAGAGGTCAGACTTAATGATGTTATTCGTTATCCCGCGTTTCTTTATGCAGCGAGAGTGTAGCGAAATGACGTCACGAACAGTGTTGGCCAATTAGAAACCAGTTTCAGTGTGTTCGCTGTAAAGCGCTTCCCGAGCGCTGCATAAAGAAACGCGGGGTTATTAACATTTGCAATTTTTTTATAAAACCATCACTACTCTCAAAAAGTAAGCTTCTTGTCATTTGATAATAATTATAAATATAAAAAGTTATTTTTTTTAAAAGAAACTCACAACAGATGAAAAAGTTACGCAACTCTTTGCTGGAATTTTTCACAAGCTGCTAAGTTACAAATAGGTAATGTTTTAAGTTTCTTTTTTAAGAAATCTATGTTAATAATTCTTACCGGTAAGATATTTAATGAAATTAGTTCTAGATATTTGTGTAAATGATATAACGAACAAAAGGTTAGTTCATATTTTTGTTATCCAGAGTGATGCACACGTGCAAAATTTTTAAACGTACTAATGGTGCAGTTTCTACAAGTCTCTTGCACTTGTATGTTTTCTTTGTCTACTTTTGATGGAAAAATGCAACACTTCTTCCATTTCCCATAATTATTAGCTCTTTATTATCGCTTAGAAGAATTTTAACTTCAACAATGTGGTTCATAACATGACAAAAGGTCAAAATATAGTTTTTCATTATAAATATTTTCACAAGTTGAAACCAAAATTTTCAAAAGCAAACTGTAATTATAACAAAAACACAAGAACACTACTTATATTCTGAAAAAGAAAATTTTCAAAAAATATCAACAACATACTGAGTATGATACGGATCAGATTGACCTGAGTATACTATAAATAAAACAATCAAATGGCTGAGAGTAAAGCCCTTCAGGACCTGATTCGTACTTAGATTATAAAAATATTGGTACAGTGGTGCCTCGTATAACGTACGCCTCGAGCAACGGACTGGCTGCAAAAACGGACTTTCCGTTCGGCAGTTACGTGAGACGAACAACAAACTTTCTGCGAACAAGTGCAAATCATGAAAACATGATTCGCACTTGTTCGCAGAAATTCATGTTTTCTTTTGCCGTTGCCAATGACAATCTGCTATTTTTATAATATATTAGTGTTATTAGAATATATCAGTGGCGTGCCGTCATTGGAAGCCGTGGATGCGCCGCTTCCCTTGTATTTTCTAAAAAGTAAATACATATTAATTTTAATTATACGAAAATAATCGCACAATATTTTATTATAACCGCATTATGTATCTTATTGAAAATTTCTATACTACACGTGAAAAAACAGATAAGATCGCTATTATATAGTCGAATATTAGTGGCGGAATGGAAGCGCTGTATCGTCAGCGTCCAAAAAGCCAGATTCGCGCATGCGCTTTACAGAGCACCAACCTCACCGGGTTTAGCCGGTGGAAGCCTAGAACCTTGGGTAGATGCTACACGTATACCGCATCCAATTCTATCCAGGACCGGTTCTGGGCTGTTAGTTGCCTACCCGCTAGATATTGGGCCGCCCTCGCCCGATTACGTGAATCGCGAGTAGATTTATAACTTAACCCAAACGATAAGAATTTATTGGTATGTTTTTATGATAGTTGACAGGAGTTAAAAAAATCCATTAAAATATTTGATATTTTTATTCCGCTCTCCGATTTTATATTACTCACGGATTTCAATGTTAAACCAGTGATATTATGATTTCGTATACCCCATCTATATAGGGGTGTAGAAAAAAACGTGTACAATTCTTGTATAAAAAATTAACTGTTACTTTGACAGCATCATTTACAACTAAATTTAATGAATGAGAGAGATGCACGAGGTACAGAAAAACCTCTAGAATTTATTTTCCTTAAATTTACGATTTATATATCCGTTTTTCATAAAAATTTGTCTTTCCACTTTTTCCCGAGACTACAAATATTCGAGTACAAAGTAACAGGTTTCAACTTATTTCTACTTAAGAAGTAGTTAAATAATTAAGCGATTAGCGAATTGGGGAATAAACAAAACCCTGATGAAAGAGCCGAAATTTTACTTAAACAAAAGCCTAACCGAACCATCTCTAGCCGAGTACAGTAGAGACTGATTTCTTCATATTATTAATGTAATAAAGACAGAAATTTTTCCAGTTCAATGAGAGTGACCGAAAATTTGTAAATTTTGGAAATTTCTGAGGACACTTGGTCCTAAAACGAATTAGTTAGAAAACAAATGACTATTAAGTTTAACATACAGTAGAGCGTCGATTATCCGAAACGTCAATTATCCGAAAGAATTCCAGTCGGCAAATTTAAATTTTCGCCAGTGCTGTAGTGCTGCAATCTTTGGCTATGTCTTGAGCTACTCAAATATTTTACGTTTTTGATACTAAATTAACTTTTGAAGTATAATTTTTTATTGTTTTTATATTTTTCAAAATATTTATTTTGTTTGTACAAAATAAAAAAATAATTTTTAACGATAGTCTTCGTTAGGCTTAACATCGACGAAAATTCAACGCGAAGCGACACGCAACGGAGAAAAATTTCAACATGGGATACGTTAATATATTTTTTCGTACATGATCGGTTATCCGCAATATCAGTTATCCGAACAACCCCAGTCCCCAATTGATTCGGGTAATCGACGCTCTACTGTATTTAGATTTTTACGGCTATAATGAGAAACGTTTAAAATCTACAACAACCCTGTCGCGTCCTTTGAAGTATACTAGCGACAAAAGAGGTAATTGACATTGACCGGTATCGGCACCCCGGGGATTTGGCAGTCCGCGTGTGACACGCTCTGCAACCATCTTCGATTCCATCCATTAGCCACTCGTAGGGAGCTATTTGACTAAGTGCATTGTTTTAAGATTTAAAAAGTAAAGAATATTTTATATTTTTATGTACGTTTCTTCACAAAACTATAGTTAATTATAATTTTATTTAAAAGTATATTCATACAATTGAAGAATATTTTGTACCAGGTATGTACCGGTACATCCACCACACATTTTATTTCACCAAGTAAGTTTTTATTATTTTATTTTTAATTGTAGCCCTAATATCGTGGCTAGCGATTCGGAATGTAATTGTGATATTAGAAATACATTTAGAAAAGTCTACGGTTTTTACTGGCTTATCGAATAAACGATACGAATGGACCCTAGACCAGGGGTCGGCAACCTGCGGCTCTTTGGATGTGAAGCTGCGGCTCTTTAGTTCCATACGCAAATATTATTTATTTTATCAAAAAAAAATTTAAAAATCGTTCTGAATCGATTAACGAGGATTAGGCACTGATTCTATCTCTCAGCCACTTGTAATCGCTTTTCACCGCACCCCGTGACACGCGTCGTCAGTCCGTCGGAAGCTCTCGAATGACGCCGTCGTCGGATGTTTCTATTATCTAATTTGTTGTGAAAAACACTACTTATATATGAATAAATAGATATTTCTTATGAATAAAATAGATTAGTTTTTTTATGAAAAAACTATTTATGCGAGTACTATTTTTTGCTAGCAAGAAAAAATTTTGTGGCTCTTTAAAAACTTTGAAATTTTGTAAAATTGTAATTTTGGCTCTTCCGACTCAAAAGGTTGCCGACCCCTGCCCTAGACCATCACTGACGTGCAATTGACTGATTGCCCCTGGATGTCGGCTTCTTACAGAAACACAGCTTCCCTATCATCAAATGTCACGGCACGCCACTGGAATATATTACCACTATGAACTCGGGGGTCAAACAGGGTTGCCCCATAAGTCCCCTTTTATTCATTATGGCCATGGAGCCGGCCATCCGTCGAATCCGAAACATGAATAAGGGGTACTCGCTGCATGGTCAGTCAGTCAGCGTCTTGGCCTATGCAGATGACATTGCTATCATTAGCAATTCTGCACAAGGCCTGCAAGACCAATTGGACGCCATCACTAACTGGACCGACTGGGCAGGGATCCATTTCAATATTAACAAGTGTGGGACCCTTGCAGTACTCGGCAAACAACATACTGCAGGAGACGTTGCCTTTTCCATCAAGCAACAGGAAATCCCAACACTAAAGAGGGAGGACGCCTACAAACATCTTGGCGTCCCCACCGGCTTCACTAAATGCGACACCGAAGCAGCCACGACTAACAACATCATAGTGGCTATAGAAAAGCTGGACTCTTCAAAATTGGCGCCATGGCAAAAGATAGACGCCATAAATACCTTCATCATGCCCAAACTTGCCTTTTGTCTCACAGCTGGCACAACGCCAAAAAAGACACTTGACAAAATCGACCGTATTACCAAACGTTGCGTAAAACGCTGGCTGGGGCTTCCTCAAAGGGCTAGCACTGAAATCGTGCATCTCCCCTACAAGCAGGGTGGTACTAACATCACCCCCACCAGCCACTTGTCAGATATCGCACAAATCTGTCACGCTTCTCATCTCTTCCACTCCAGAGACCCTGACATTGTCAACATCTCTCGTGGCACACTTGAAGAAGTAGTAAGCTTCAGAATCGGCAGGGCAGCCAACACCGACGACCTATGTCGCTACTTGGACGGCTCTATGGAGGAAGAATTCGGCCGCCCAAGTAAAGACATTACCTCAGTCTGGACCAGGTTGCGCATGGCGACCAGACGCCTTAAAAAACGAATCAACATCCACTGGACAGTCGGTCCTGACAATCTGCCCGTCATTTCCACTGAGGACAATCTAATAAACGCCCAAAACTGCCAGCGCACTCTTTGTGGCCTCCTTAAAGAACATTATCATCACAGTCTAACCTCCAAACCTGATCAAGGAAAGGCCTACAAAGTCACCACCACTAGCGAAGTGAGCAACCACTTCATGAACAACGGCCACTACACCCGGTTCTCGGATTGGTTCTTTATCCACCGAGCCCGGATGAGCACGGTTGCACTTCGTGGTCACAAGCGCTTTGGCAGCGACACAAAGAGATGTCGTCGTTGCGGTTACCAGCGAGAGACTCTTGCACATGTTCTCTGTCACTGTCCGCCAAACTTTCACCTCATCACACGGAGACACAATGCGATTCTCAACCGCATTGTATCGGCGTTCAGACCCAGAGACGCAAAAGTATATGTCAATCAGCGCGTCCCCGGCTTTAACGAAAACTGCCGCCCAGATATGGTCGTCGTCCACGATGCCTCTAAATCTGCCACCATCGTGGACGTCACAGTACCATTTGAAAACGGAGCCGACGCCTTCCAGACAGCCCGGGATGAGAAGCTACGCAAATATAATTCCCTTGCCCATCACTTCCGGCAACTAGGATACAACACCCATATCAGCGCTTTTGTCATAGGCGCCTTGGGAGGGTATGACCACACCAACGAAGCCACCCTCCAGCGCCTGGGGATCCATCGCAACTACTCCAAGCTGATGAAGAAGCTGATGATAAGTGATACCATCAGATGGAGCAACGATATCTACAGACATCATCTAAACCCACATGGACGTCCACCACGTCAACAGTCTACCTTACAACCAGGTAACAACTAATTGTCTACACTTGGCCCTAGAGCCCATGTACTCATCTCTCTATGTAACAACGCGTAGCTGGCACACGAGCCCATGTACGCGCATATCCTAGTACCTTTGTATACATTGTCCTCTTTGGCAGGCATACGAGCCCATGTTACGCGTTCTCTACTCTTGTTGTAACCCGCGTGGCTGGCACAAGTGCCCGTGTACGCGCTGCACATATCCTCTTGTATATACTCGGCTGGCATACGAGCCCATGTTCGCGTGCACTATAATCTTATACAGTGGTACCTCAGGTTACGAACGCCCCAGCATACGAAATTTTCAGGATACGACATGAAATTCGAACATATTTTTGCTCCACGATACGAACAAAAACTCACCATACGACGTTTCATTAGTTCGCATTTTTCATTCGTTTTTCTTACTACAGTTATCTTTTTAAATGTATTACTTGGCTTTAATTTAAGTATGTTTTTCGCGTTGAAACGAATTATTTAGTTTTACATGTAATCGTATGGGAATAGATGATTCACCTTACGACATTTTCATGATACGATCTCAGTTTCGGAACGGATTAATTTCGTATCCTGAGGTACCACTGTACTTGGCAAGCCCATGTCGCGCTTGCACATTTGTTATTATGCCTCTCTTTTTCCTTGATGTAAATACTTGAATTATAAAATAAAGGCTTTTTAAATCTGTTAGTATATCTGAAGTACAGAGCTCCCGTTGGGATTCGGCTTACTTCCTTGTTTATTACGTACATCACCTCAGTGCAGGGTATTTACATTTATTCAAGTGTTGTGCAAATCATGGCTTCTAAAAAAACAGAAAGGCGATTTCAATTGAAACAAAGCAAGAAATCATCAGAAGGAGTGAAAGTTGACAAAAACTTTCTTGTCAAATAGGAAGAGGTTCAGGAGTTTACCAACACTCATTATCCAAACAGAGCTGAGGCCAACAGGATCAATGATCTCTACAATGACACCCTTGCCCGTCATTTTCGACAGGTGTTGAAGAAGAGAGAGAAACAGAACACCTTGGACATGTTTTTCAAGAAGCCAGCAGGCAAAAAACAAAGGATGGAACAAGAAGAGTTGACCCTGCAAGCTCCAGTACCCTCTCCTGAATCTGGCTCCGATTAAAAAAACAATAAAATGAGACCTGCTGCAATGTGTAAAAAGTCTGTATCTATGAATGTGTGAAGAAAGTGTTCTTCCACCTCCTCCTCACAACATCTGACTACCCGGCATAATTGGTGACTGCTCCATTTTCATTTTTTTATGGTACAGTATGGTTATTTTATGCTGCGGAACGAATTATATGTTTTAACATGTATTTCTATGGGAAAATGCGTTTCGTATAATGGACATTTCACTTAACGGACGTGCACCTGGAACGGATTAAGTACGTTATACAAGGCATCACTGTATGTTGAGGGTTAAATACTACTATTACCAATGTTATTGTTAATTGTCTACTTGGACTTTACTTATTAATTAATTAATAGGACTTAATACTGGTGTTTAAAGATTGGCACAGCAATGAGAGTGTGTCATCCGCGTGTATATTGCCGGTCTCTGCTGTAATAAAAAAAATATATATATATATATATATATTTTTTGTTTAACAATAATCATCTTTATGTATATATGTAATATTTTATTAATGTAATTAACGTAAACGATCGTCGCGATTGCTGTACGCGCGGTTTTATTTGTGTTTTGGGCTGTTTTTGTGTGGCAGCACGGTGAGAGTGGTGGAGGAGTTATATATAGTGGGGAACCGGAAACCAGGCAGTCCGGTTCCTGGCGTGCAACAGTGAAGGTGTGTCCTTCGATTGTCTTGTGTAGACCCTTTGTGCTTTGTGTAAGCTGCCACGTGCCAGGCTTAAGCCTACCTATCGTATTGTGATTCAATTGTATATATATGTTTGGTGCATAAAGTTTGTTAGATAATATATCGTACTGGTCTCCTCCTTTTTTTGTGGCAATCATTTCTCATTCACCTCTGCGGATATCATACCTCAGATATTCGCCGATTCCACAAGAGTTAGTTCAGAATTTTAGGAGAGTTAGTTTAGTTAGTTTAGCAAGGAGAGTTAGTTTAGTTCAAAATTTGTTTATTATATCACTTGTAGTGATATAATAAACAAATTTTGAACAGATATACAGGTGATATAATAAACAAATTTTGTTCTTTCCTGAACTAACTCTCATTGCTGTGCCAATCTTTAAACACCAGTATTAAGTCCTATTAATTAATTAATAAGTAAAGTCCAAGTAGACAATTAACAATAACATTAGAATTTAAGGACAGTAAGGCTTTTACAATTACTACTATTACCGGTTTAAACTCTAATCTTGCTTTTTTATAATAAGTAAATAAAATCTAAAAATAGCTAATTTTGAGATGAAACGATCTAGATTTATATCACTTACAGTATATAATTGCCTAAATCGCAAATCTAGGGGCAAACAAAACAATCTAGATTTAGATGAGAAAATTGGATTCTAAAGTGACAATCCTACCCAACATGTAGCACAGACTTTACTGTTTTGACTTAAAACAAAATGGCGGTCGATGATACCCGCCACCAAGAGCGCTTTATCTAAGGTCATAGCTACTTTATGTAGTACATTCTAGCTCGTTGGTTCCGTTAAAAAAATAAGATTGTAGAAAATATGCATGTTCCATAAACACAGCAGTAGCATGACATTGTTTCTGTTACATTTTAATCATAGAGGGCAGTTTGTTATTGTTTTATTGCAAGATACTGACAGTGATACCACAAAGATACGACACAATCTACTGAAAGAAAGAATTATTGAAAGGCTATAAAAGTGGGCCAATTGTAGACAGAGATGTTCAGGACTCTAATTTATCGCAGTGTGTCATATCCAGGCTTTTATTCAGATTTCAAAGAATAGGACATTCAAAAATTACCATCTTTCAATGGGACTGTTATTTTATTTTAATTAAAAGTGTTATAACAGAAGAATGTCTTGTTCGAATGAATGGACGTAGACAGCTCTGCAGAAAGTGTCTACAGCCATTGGTGTTAGTTTCATGACAAACCATCTACAGGAAGCTTCAAATGAATGAACTTTTTGTAGATGCCCGGTATGTTGTGTTCCCTTGACTCAGAAGAGCCTATTTAAAGGTGTCAAGAACATCGATATTGGAGGAATGAATGGGGCAACGTTCTGTTCGCTGAAGAACCCAGATACAATCTACAGCAATCATAAACAATCTGCATAAACTGTCAACGTAATTTGATTTTTGGTTTTTGTCTCGTGCCATAATGCACTCTAATTAGGCTGACATCCGTGACAAAGAACATTCAAAAGTGAAATGATGAGAATAAACTATAAAATAGATGCGTCGAATATCGCCATGTTTCTAATTCTGCCGATCTATTATTTCTCGGAATTTACCACAGCTTGTCGATAGACAGCGCAAGTTTATGTAGATTGAGTGTAGATTGAGATTGTTAGGTAGAGGTCGTCTGTGCCCACTTAGAGGGTATTTTGTAATACACATCATAGGTTGGGTCTTAGGTGTGGCCAAGCCTACTGTAATGGTAACCGGATGTCCAGAGATTATACTCGATGTATCCGGGAAAAATTCCAGATCTGTAGTAGCACGCTTTGATACACGTGTGTCATTAAGTGACAATTCGACGAAGATGTTCTTCACCCCTCGATATATCAGTAAAGTTTTGTTACCAAATGATTTTTAACGTAATGGTATTTTTAAAATCACGGTTATATGTTAGGAAGCATATTACAGTGGGTGATCGGTTAACGAACATACAGTAATCCATTCTAAGACTTTGTTCACTATCCGAATTGTTCGTTAACCGATTATCGATTTACCACAAGTTTATATGGGAATTTGATTAATTCGTTCAGGAGACTCCAAAAAATAAAAAATATATACTTTCTTACTACGTTTATTTATATGTGATAATAAAAATACATATATACATAGTCTTGCATTTTTATTAGTCATGTTTTTTCCGTTTGTGGGGGTTAAAGACTATCTAATGTGGATTGCTTTTCTCTCTTCAGGATTTTTCGGAAGTAATTAATAGCATCGTAATTGTAGAGATCCCCAACCTGGTTTGGATGCCATTCTAAGACCGTTGTTCTGACATCCTCCCATTTCTTCAAAAGATCTTTAATAGCAGATATCGGCATTAATCCTCTTTATCAGAAGAAAACATATCTCGCCGAGTTTATTGGTGTTCTTCATTCAAGAGTTATTGGCGTTCTTCTGTCGTCAGATCCGTTTCAGGTTCTATTATGAGCTCTTCAATGTTCTTTATTTTTCAGATGTGATTTTTGTTACTCCTTTAGCTGCTTGAGTCTTCTTGATAATACTGTATTTTTCTTAGATAAGATTGAACTGCGGCCTACTGTAGATCTGTTCAAAACCAACTGCCCAGCAACATCAGACATCTTCTACCCACTCGCTACTTTTGCTATTATACTCTCACCAGTGCCCACCAGTGGCCAAGAGTTCTTCGTACCCTGAACACTGGGAGTTCGATCGTGGGTTCGTGCCTCGCTCGGACGGGCTGGCCACATGGAGTTTTCCGGGTTTTCTCTACGTAAATAGGAGCCAGTTTTCCTTAAAAGACCTTCCGGAAGGCATCCTCCTAGGGCCTAGGGAGATCGCCCAAGTGTTGCGTTGCCACAACTTAACAAACAACAACAACATATACTCTCACCTTTCGAAAATAAAAACCGACGCAAAACTTAACGAGTGCCCGCCCGATAGTCACGCGAATACTATAAAAAATTGTTTCTGTCAGAAGAATAAAAGGCTGATGTCGGCCCTCCTTCCTCAGCACCCGGCAGCCCTATTGTGGGCCTGGCCAAACCAATTGTGGGCTTGCTAAGAGGCCCTCAATCGGCGAAAAGAGCAAAAATAAGTCAATTATCAGTTAGAAAATATTTGCAGAACTTTTTGCAGTTATTTTTTTACTGTCAGAGAGTTACTGTACATGAACATACACGGAATTAAAGGGAAGGGAGTAACAGAGAGGAAGAAGTCAAAAGTGGCTCAAAAACTTCATAATGGATGGCATCTGCATCTGATCATCCTCCATTAAGAACAATCCAGGAGTCTCAACATGCTCTTGTTCAAGAACGGACTTTGCTTCTGACAGAACCAATAAATGACATTATAAACAGCATGAGCAATCGTTATGCAGCGTGTGTGCATACAGCCTCGATGAAACCAAAAGCCATATGAATAATTTTCTGCGCATAAAGATTGATAATGTTTAGCTTTTTTTCTTTTTCTTTTAGGTTTCATGTAATTTAGACTAAATTTTTGCTTTCAATTGTTTTGTTTCATAAATAATACAATGTTCTGCTTATGTGTTAAGTTTTGCGCTATATCAGTAGTTCCTAGAATGTAGGCCAAAATGATTTTGCTTATTTGTGAACATGAGTGCGTATGAAATCAATTTCTTAATTTCCGAAAGCAATGATTTACAGTTTTTGTAATCGAAATTTATTTGAAAACACGTTTTAAATATGAAATAATTTTGAAATAAATTAAAAATATTTTTCAACAATTTTTTAATTGAAAGCTTTTGTATTTGCTTTTAAAATGACATTTATATATGTTAAGCATTTTTTTTTTTTTTGTTCTGAAAAGGATAACGATACGAAAATATATATTTGTAATAAGCATAAATTTTTTATTTCTACTACTGTTCTATTGTATTTAATATTAATTTTATATACTTTATACGAGTTAACACTGAATACAAAAGAATACAGTAGAGCAGGGATGGCGAACCTTTTTGTGTTCGCGTGCCATATTGTAAGCATACTTAGCTTTAAAGATGTTTATGCGTGCCAAAGTTTCAGACTTCGAATAATGATATTTAAAGAAATTAAACGAATACGCTTTAATTAGAATAAATGTAAAAACGCTGATTGAAAAAAGGATGATCGGGTGATAAACCGAAAAGATGATTGAAAAAGACAGGAATCGCATGATATATTACGTGCCAAATGATTTCTCCTTACGTGCCACTTTGGGCACGCATGCCATAGGTTCGCCTCCCCTGCAGTAGTGCATCGATTATCCGACTCAATTGGGGACTCAGGTTGGTCGGATAACTGAAAAAATCGGATAACCGAAAAGAATGAAAAAAATACATTATTAGTATAGTATATTAGTATATCCCATGTAATTAGTATATTAATATATCGCTATTAACCAACTTTGCGTTGAATTTTCATCGATGTTAAACCTAACAATTTTTTTAAAAATAATAATCGTCGCTATTGTATCGTTAAAAATTATTTTATTGCTCACAAAACAAACAACCATTCATAAAAGTCTCGTTTAAATACTGGCTGCCCTTCAATTGTCGAGCCGTTGATGCCAGGTAAAACACGCAAAAATTTAACAAAAATAATATTAAAGTAGCCAAGACATAGCCAAATATTGTAGTGCCACGTCACTAGCGGACATTTGAAATTTGCCGACTAGAACGGTCGGTTAACCGATGTGACGGTTAATCGGGGGTCGGATAATCGATGCTCTACTGTATTAGCAGAAAGATATCTATTAAGAAATATTAATCCTGCCCTGGCTAATTAAGGTTGCCAACTGAAGAAAATCTCTTTAGGGGACATGCTAGTAAAAATGGGGATTTTCAATGAAAATGCAGAACTTTCATATGAAACAATTTACAGTGGTACAGAGCCGGCCCTACTATAGGGCGAACGGAGCAGCCGCTCCAGGCGCTAAGTTTTAGGGGACGCTTCAGTATTAAAGAAAATTAAAGGATATAAATTACGGGCAACCAAGGGGCGCCATAATAGGATCTTGCTCCATCCTAAAACGTGCCTCGGGCCGGCACTGAGTGGTACCTCGTACTTCGAATGCTTCAGCGTTCAAATGCAAAATTCGACAAAAATTCTCCTTCCGAGTTCGAACAATGCTTCAAAGTTCAAACTGTGAGTGCAGTAAAAAAATGCGGTCGGAGCATAAACGCAATCATTTGTGTCCTAGTCATCTCACACTCCATCTTACGTTATGCTTGTATGTTTTCAATGCTTTTTTCGCTTTATTTTTGGTTTATTCGGTTATATATTGTATTGTGTGTTATTTGTCGATTTTTAATAATTTTTTCTTGCAGTTTTTCTTTGTCGACAACTTTTGGGCACCCCGTACATCTTGTATCCTTTAGTTCAAAATTTCCCAATAAAATTATTAAACCATATTAAACACGTTCGAAGTTTACGAGCATTTTTATCATACACATTACAATTGTAGTGTTTGAACGGCATTTATATCCTTTTCAAAACTCATAAAGCCTAATATGCCTGCTATGTTTTTTATCATAAGATATTAAACTTGATTTTATTCAAATAAAGTGTAAAGTTTAATGTAAGATTCTAAACAAAGAATAAAATTCACACTATATGTAATATGTTAAATTTCACAAGTGTTATAATTTAAATCACACATCAATGCTAAGATGCCGAACTCTGCCATGTGAACCAATGAATGCAATTTTCATTTTATTATACAGTATTTACGTGTTTTATTTATAGTTTTTATGTTTTAATTTATTATTAGGGCATTTCGTTGTTATTTTTACCTTAAATTATGTGAATTTGCTATTTTAAGTTTATTGAAATAGGTAATGTTTAGGATCTGAGATTGGATTAAGTCCACTTTCCATTATTTTTTAATGGGAAAAAATTATTTCGGACTTACTTGTTAGAACAATTCGGAGTTAGAACGACTTCCCGGAATAAATTAAATTCGAAGTAGACACCACTGTATTTCATTTTCATAAGTATGTTTTTATAAATTTCTTTAATACAGTACTATCGTTTAAAAATTTTTTGCGGGATTTTCACTGGTCTTTGCGTGTTGCGGGGATTTCGTTTCAAAAATGCATGACAGTCTCGCAATTTTGTTTTTATATAAAATATTATATATATTATTTTCAGATTATTGTATCGATTAAACTTACGAAAAGAGATATGCCAACGATTCTTTGTAAAAATATTCTTTAATTATATGAATTATTTTATTCGTTATTTTATCTGCGTGTTTAGAAATTCATTATTTTGACATCGCTATTAGTTCAATTTGAATGTGACCATGCCAATGACNATATCTAATTCAAATATTTAATAATTCTGCATTAATACTTATCATCATAGAAAACTTTTTGATTATTTTGTCAGCAGTAAATGAGTTGTTAATACAAGTAGTGTTTGCTGTTGTGATTGGAATAGAAGAATACTAGAATGATTAAATATGGAAAAATATTTTTGAACCTTCATTATGTAGTTATCATATGAGGAATATTCAGAAATATATCTGAATTATAAACAATAATTGTCCTTTCTGAATTTGTCATTAGTTTTTCGTAAGATTATACATTATAAAGTTTTTAAATAACAATAGATCTGCATAAGATTCTGGATACAAAACATTAGGTGGCTCAGTGATGAAAGAATATGCAAGGAATATGCCTGCACCTTCTTGCCATAAGTGTTCAAATGATTCTTCAACACTATTTAGTTGCTCATCTTTTACTTAAATTATTAATAATTGAATTTGTTTCTAAGAAATAACATATTTAACTAAAAACTTAAGTAAAGAAGCTTGTTTATTTGAATACATTTATTTTGATAAATACTTTGGATTTTTGCCAAGTTATTTTAGTTCTTTCATTTTTTTTCCTCCCTGCATCTTAATATGTTTCTACTAAACACAATGTTGGAAATCTGCATTGCATTTATACGATTTGTCAGTATTTATAGAGGGCGTTAAAGGCCATGTTCAGATCGGAGAGAAAATTCGTCTGCGGAAGTGTCAGTTTTTTTAGTTTGATTGATATAAAGTATTTTATAAAGTGTTTTTATTGATAATTTTGTTACCTTTTGATGAAATGCAGACTGATGAATCTATTCTAAATGTAAAATGGCGGATCCACAGTTCGAAGAATTTCGCTTGATTTTCGATCAATTGCCTCAACATATTAAAGCTCCTTCTCACTGTTACAGGTATAAATATGTCTTACGTTAACCTTTTATTTAGCGTTTAAAATCATTATTATGGAATATAATTCCACGTTTATTTCTTTCGTAATTAAATATTTAGAAAAAAATACGTATGATTGATTAAAGTCATGCTTTCGTCGGGAAAAATCTCAATATTACTCTATGAAAAGTGTAATGAAAATCAATATGGGTGATGTATATACCGAATCGACTTGTGTATATATTAATAAATATACAATTATCTCGGCATATATTTTGTTTGTTTGATTAAGCTTATAAATATGAAATGAATCAAATTGAGTCAAATTTTATTAGAGAATTAGGAAATATATGTGTGGTAAAGTACTTATTTACACTTGTGCCAGTGATTATGAATGGTTGAAAGTGGGAAAACATTGAATTTATTGATTTAAAAAAAACTGATAAAAAAATTATATATATATATTTTTTCAGTTTTTACAAATTCAAAAGTCAAAATATCTCAGTAAAAAATGACTTAGGCCACTTTTGTGATCATTGGCACATTTATGGAAAAAATAATGATAATTAATGTTTAATAACTCTATAAAATCATCTGTTTTTGATTTAAATTATTGTTAAATGAAAACTTGCATTTTTTAAAAATTTTTTTTATTCTTATGTAGCTATGTATCTTTGACTATTAGTTTTGGACTTATTATGCCACAATTTTTAGGAATCTTGACTTGGGCTTTTCTCTCTTTATTTTGAATTTATTAAAAATAAAGAGAAAAAAGCCCAAGTCAAGAATAAATGTGGTGTAATAAGTCCAAAACTAATTGGTAAAGATACGTAGCTATATAAGAATAAAATATAAAGAAAAAAGGACAATCCATAATAATAGATATAAATAGGTTAGAAAATTGCATATTTTAAATTAAGATTTTAAAAATTTTATATAATATTAAGAAATTAAGTTTATAAAATTCTTCAAGAACAGATTTGTAATGTGTTTACATTTAATTCTAGAAATGCTATAAAATCTGATGTAACTTTATAATCAGCTTGCTAAAGCAACAATATTTCATTATTACAATTACAAAATAAAAAGTAAATAAATATATTGAATACATTTGAATTATCCATTTATGTGTACTATATTTCATTGATGTCATTCCAAGTAAAGTTTGGATTAAATTATATTATCAATAATAATACATTTAAACTGATATATATATATAATGATTGTGTTTAATTGGATTTGTCTGATGCTGTTATGGAACCAATCTTTGATCTACTGAAGATGAAGTATTATTATTATATATTTAATATATTAAAGTTTTTATTATTTTTTAATTAAAAAAAAAACTTCCTATTTTATGACTATATGATAAAGAAACTGTTGCCAAAACATCTAAATTTGTAATACATTGTTTTGGTGCATAAATAAATGAAAAATTTTTATAGTAATACAAAATTTTAATGACAAACTTTATGTATCATTTTTACAATATGAATCTCAATAATTAATCTATTAGATGATTTAAAATTATAAAAGAATATTAAGTTATATTTTTTTATAATCTATTGATATACTAATTCAAAAATGATATATTAATATCTAATTCAAATATTTAATAATTCTGCATTAATACTTATCATCATAGAAAACTTTTTGATTATTTTGTCAGCAGTAAATGAGTTGTTAATACAAGTAGTGTTTGCTGTTGTGATTGGAATAGAAGAATACTAGAATGATTAAATATGGAAAAATATTTTTGAACCTTCATTATGTAGTTATCATATGAGGAATATTCAGAAATATATCTGAATTATAAACAATAATTGTCCTTTCTGAATTTGTCATTAGTTTTTCGTAAGATTATACATTATAAAGTTTTTAAATAACAATAGATCTGCATAAGATTCTGGATACAAAACATTAGGTGGCTCAGTGATGAAAGAATATGCAAGGAATATGCCTGCACCTTCTTGCCATAAGTGTTCAAATGATTCTTCAACACTATTTAGTTGCTCATCTTTTACTTAAATTATTAATAATTGAATTTGTTTCTAAGAAATAACATATTTAACTAAAAACTTAAGTAAAGAAGCTTGTTTATTTGAATACATTTATTTTGATAAATACTTTGGATTTTTGCCAAGTTATTTTAGTTCTTTCATTTTTTTTCCTCCCTGCATCTTAATATGTTTCTACTAAACACAATGTTGTTACTTTTTTGTGACTTAACTGTTTTTGGATATATATTTTGATATAACCTTAATTTCTGTAATTTGACTTTTTCTAATTGATTTAGAAATGTTAAAGAATCTAATAAAATTAAATAGATTAACTTTAGCTTTTAAATGAAATTTGATTGAATTGTGAAAACATCTGAGGAACAATCTAAAATTAATTTAATACTATTAAGAATAACAAAATATATGATAAAACTTATTAATTGAATTTTTTTATTTTATTATTATTTTAATTATCAGGAAAGCTTATTAATCTAGTATCTTTAATAATTAAAATTGTAAAATTAAAAATGTTCTATTTAGTTCTATTTACCAAAAGCTTTTTATTATTTAAATAATTATTCATTTCAATCTTTGATTTGAAAATATGACATTTTATTAATTTCAAAATTGTTTTTCTGGTATACTATTTAGGGAAGTGTCTTACTTGTCAAGTGAGGTGATATATAAACAATTGTAATGAAAAAACATCCCTATCAGTAAACATACACAATACAAACAGTAATATGATCATTCATTCACCTCAATGTAGGGCGCATGCTCTTCTCTTGGTGTCACTAAAGTTTGTTGCTAGCAGTTTGTCATTGTAGAGATCTCCCTTTTTAGAAGTGGCTATAGTTAGCTAATTTTTTTTAATTTAGAAATTTTCCAATTGAATACTAAGTGCAACTATTAATATAAATATAACTAATTTTATGAGATGATAAATGTTATTTAAGATCAATAAAAATAATATAGGATTGTGGGAAAAGGATTAATAAAAGAGTTTTGATATTTAGAAAAAGATGGTCAAGGAATAGGAAAAATGAATTAAGAATAGATATAGAAAGACCAGAGGAATAGGAAAAATGAATTAAGAATAGATATAGAAAGACCAGAGTAAAGATTAGTTGAATGATTTTATTGTTTGAAAAAATAATATCAAAAAGAAAATATAGTAAATTTAAAACATGAGTTCAGCTAGGCCCATGTTGGGGGCAACCAGGTTATTAGGAATAGATCCTAACATATCCAGGATAGAATGCCCATGAAAAATCCCAGAGGTTTCTTGTCTGGATTTGATCCAAGAGCTTAGTGGTAGGTTGATACATTAACCACCTCAGCCATCTGGTTGTCTTTTTTTATATTAATCATTATTCTCTGCAATCCTATTTCATATAGTTGAAACATTTTTAGATGTTGAGATTTTAAATTTAAAGATTAGGTGCATTTTAGCAGAATATTGGAAATATTTAAAAATCAAATGTTAAAAATTTCTCACTGAATTTGTGTAAGGAACTTAAAATTTATGGAATTTGAAGTAAAATTATGTGCCCTTGAAAATAATGAAGTTATTTCAAAAATGTTTTGCATTTGAAATAAATTTAGAAAATCAGCTTCTTGATAAAAAGTTTATGAATAAATATTAATAATCATCTCAGTTATTTGAATACATAAAGAATGTAAATAATTAGGTTGTAATCAGTATATTCTTAATATAATCAAGTTACTTTATAACAATAATAACAAATTAGCTTTCTTCAGTTATATATTTTATATTATTTGATATTTTCATGTAATGTTTTTAATAATAAGCATCAAAATATACAAATATAAATAGCAATGGATATGCTGTATTATTATCTTTTACATGATTTAGCCATACTGTATTATAAAAACAAATAATAATACTCTGTAAATAGTATTGATATTACCCATATAGTGGTCCATTTATCCATTATTTTGCCTAGAATTTTATATTTATCTTACATTAATTAAAACATTATTTTAAGAAACACATAATTCTGTATCTTGATAAATCTTGTATGAACTTTTGTGGTTTGTCTGAACTTAACATTTTTTTTTTCTGTAGAAATATCTGAAAGCAAAATTATATTCCATTTAAAATTTATAAATCTCGAAGATTAAATGAAATTTGGAAAAAAATTTTTTTATAAATTAAAGGAATTCAATATTATATTTGAGAATTTTGTTTATATATTGAATGTTTAATGTTTTAGCAATTAAATTTAGAAATATTTAACAAAAGAATTTTTCAGAAGTAAATTTTGAAATTGGAAAACTGCATATTGCCTAGTATTATATTTATTTGTTTTATTTTTTTTTTCAAATATTTTAAGATGAATCTTTTCTAGTTCTTATTTAAAAATGAAAAGAAACTCATTATGATTATTTGTATAGGAAATGGAAGCATATCTTGTATCCATTTATCTTAAAATATGTCAAAATCATATCTTAAATATCATTCAGCATATTAATTATTATAAATGTATATTATTATATTCTATTATATAAAAGATGGGAAAATATTTTTTTATTTTTTATAATTTTATAACAACAATATTGTTGTTATAAAATACATAATTATGTTCATTTAATGCAATCAAATAGGCAACATTTTTAAAAGTTAGAATGAAAGCTATCTAGTCATTTCACTTTATTTTTAATTAAAGTGTATATATGTTGTATAAGAAATGTTTCTACAAGCTTTCTTTAAGGAGTGTAGAATTTTATATAATAGATATTATCCCAAAAAATAGTCTTCAGAATCTAAATAAACTAATTAGATAATGCAGAAGTAAGATATTACATCATACTTAAATGAAAAAACGGTAAAACATTTTTCAGTTTTTTTCAAATAAAATTGGAGAGCCTTAAGAATTATTTAATACTGTATATATTTTTTCCATTACTTTGAACTGCATTCTCTTAATTTAAAAACAAAACTTATGTTGATCTTATGCTGATATTAAATTTGATTTTGCACTATGCAACATCATAAATGACATAATTTAGAAATCAGGCCTATATGACTTAAAAAATTATAATTTTCTTTATTAACGTTGTTTTTATCACTAATGTTATTACAAAAGGGTTACTATGATTTTTACTGTTCATTACTTTTAATATCCAAAGGTATACTATTAATGTACACTAATTAATTTAATAATTTATTTATATTTAACTTCATTTCATAACAGTGCTTATGAAATGGCTTGTTCTAGCATGATTATAAATTGTGTTCTCTCTGAAGTACTCTTTGAAGTTGACAGAACACATTTACATTGCTGATAAATGATGATAGATTTGTTTATTTATATAACTGGATACTATTTATCATATATGGTATATTTAATGAAATTATGCAAATGATTGTTTTTTTTATGCTTAATTATTAATTAGAAATTTCTATTGGTTTGAGATTCTTTTATTGCAGCAAGAATATGGTTTTCATCTTTATAATATAGTAAGAAATGAAACTGATAATTAGATGAAAAGTACTTAGGACAGTATTAATGTAGTCTGTTAAGCATTAAATTTTGTTAGATTTATATTTTTCAATCACATAAGATCATTATTACATCAAATCAACATTTTATTCTAATGAGTTTGATATGAACAATGCATAGAAAAATGATGGATACAAAAAATATAAATTTTAGTAAAAATTTCATTATTGAATAAAATTGAATTCCAAAAATATTTTAAAAATACAACAATTTTTTTATTTAGAGGAAGGATTATTAATTAATCTGGAGATGGACACCCTTAATTTATTTAGAATGAATCCCAAGATAGATTTAAGAGGATCTATAAAACTGAATGAAAAAACAATTTTTTCAATTAACTTTTAATTGAAGTATAGTTAAAAGTAATTACATTCTTAAAAACTTTAAAAAAGTTTTCTTCAAGATATACGCTAAAGCATATTTAAGGTTCAATTTAAAGCATATAACTTGAAGAAATGTTTTGTTTAAAATTTCCAAATATAGTATTTTCTTAAATTATGATTGTAGGTAACAAATCATATTAGAATTAGCTATCAATAGCCTTTGTTATCAACAGAAATTTTAATGTTTTTAAGATATTTTCATAATACTTTAAAAACATTTTGAGGAAGGATCCATATGCAAAAATAGTCAAGACAAAAAGGTTAATAATTCCCAATTTAAATAAAGAATATAAAATTAAAGCAAAACTATTCTGTTATTTTAATTTTTATCTTTGGGTTAATCCCTGAAGGTGGATGTTAGCTTGATAGTGCTTTAATTTTCTTTTTTTCTGAATGAAGCAAGCTATTGTTGTTTTAAAGTATTTCACTATTTTGGTGTATATTAAATTTACATTTTTGATATCATTTCTATAAGTATGTATTGATATGTGTAATATTTATATAAATTTTATTTTATACTATGTATTTAATTTTTAGGAAGTATCAATAAGATTGCTAAAATTAGTTTGAAATATCAAATTATTGTAAGTCAGAAAATTTTACTCCTTGGTTGTTGACATAATATGAAAGCATATTTTTTTAATTAAAAATATTTCTATTTTATTAATTATTTTAGAAATTTTTATTTATTATAAATTAAGTTTCTACTTATCAAATATAAAGCAATATACAAATTTATGTTAATTTTATTTATTTAATTTTTATTTTTCAATATAATTTGCTTTTTTTTTCTTCATTTTTGTTTAATTTAATTTTTACTTTCTTAAGTGATTGAAAAAATTGCATGTATATCACTGAAGATTTATTTTCTTTTTGAAGAATGTGGTAAGTTAAAATTAAATAACTTATTATTTATTAAGTTACTTATTATTATTATTATTATTTAAAATATATATTGTAATTTCCTAATAAGAAAGTATATAATAATTATAACTGTTGTTTGATTTATTAAATTCAGACAAATTGTTATAAAAGATGAAAATCTCATTGCCATTTGTTTATATACAAAAAAACCTCTAATCTTAAGGAGGGATTCAAGAAACAGGATTTAAGTCAAATTGGACCATTGGTTCTGGTGAACATCCTATATAACGTTTTCCTGCTCTTAAGTCAAATAAAAATTTTGCATATCTCAATTTTGCTCCTCTCTAGTCAAACTCAACGGGTGTTGACCAATCTAAGTTTAAGTTTCATGAATCCTTTCAGCACATTGTTTGTTTGGTAAATGTAGCTTTTATTTTGGTAGCTTTAATATATTTTAAAAATATAATGAACAAACAATTATTTTTTAAATTCAGCCAGAGACAGATGGTAAACAACTTAAACAATTCTACAATTTTCAATTGATCAAAGCTTTAATATAGCTGGATAAACAAGCCAGTGACATCAAGTTGCCAATTTAATGGAAAATTTGATAAATCTATCTTTTCTATTTTTTTATTGAGAAGATTAAAAGTTACATTCTCTGCCTATTGATTTTTTTCTACAGTGGGCAGTGACTTGATACTGCAGTAACTAAAATTTATTTTAGTATTTTGATTTTTAATTCATATTTGTATTTGGAGCATTGCAGCCATCTTGAATTTTGTCTTTGTGCTATATGAACTCAGTCAATACATTAATAAAGGTCTATTTGCTAACTACCTAAATTTTCCTGTTGATAATTTATATAATGTATTATTTGTATTATTTAAATTTCATAACTCATACTCTTAACTAGCTTTTTTTGTTTTTGTCTTTGTTTTTTTTTTTTTTTTAACCCCTTCAAATTTGACATTTAGAGGTTTTACTGTATGTATATTTCTTAAAGTATGTAATCCATAATAGGTATACAGTTAAATTATAAGTATTTTTTCCAGAGATTTTTAATTTCTAATTTTATAAATGTGATAATGATGTATTAAAATGATTAAATCATTATTATGGAAAATTAATTATAAATCATAAAATGTTTTTGTTGTGTAAATTATATGAATAACCATAGTGTGTGAACAAAAATATTTTAGGATAATATTTTTGTTGCTGTCATTTTGTTTAATGTTGTGTAATAAGGAAAATTTTGAAGAAACTGTTGTATGAATAGTAAATCTGAAATTAAATAATAAATTACATCTAAACAGATAACATCAAACATTGTAGCAAGAGCAGCAGCAGCAACAACAAGGCAATTGAATTTGTAAGGAAACAATAGGTAATAGAACATGGGATTTTCAGATTTGGATTTTTAGCATTGTTCATAAATTTGTGCAAAAAAACCTTGTTATTATTACTATTATGATTGATAGAATTATTGAACATGGACAATCATTTACATTGAATTTCATACATAATTTAAAGTAGGCAAGAATATTATTTCAACATTATATGGATAAAATAAACCTGATTTTTGCATTTACATGATATTAATACAATATATATGTAAAACTGTAAAATTTGATCAATTGTAAATCTTCATGTATTACCAGGAAGTTCATTATACTCATAGAAAAAGCACTTTGATATGGGTTATAGCAGATTTCATTAATTGTTCTTTTGAGAGATTTATCTTATAGATCTTATTTCATGTTCTGATAATGTCAAGCTCTACATACATTTCTTGTTTAACTCTTATTCCAGTCTTTTAACACAGAAACTGTCATATTGATATTGTAAGATAGACTCTTTTATATAGATCTGCATGACAGACTATTTTATAGTTGGTAAAATTGTTACAGTTTCTGCTTAGTTGTATATATTCAGATTCTGTTGACTTTGTATTTTGAATTATCATAATTTCTTATTCTAGATTTATTAAAAACAGTTTATGCTATGACAAAATTTTAAAAAAAATCCAGCAAAAACATTTAAAATTGCCTATGGCACCATCTGTTGTGATATTTTATTTAAAAAACTTTTTATATTCTTAATTATTAACTTTCAAAAAAGCTTCATTTAAAGGTTAGATATGAGTTTTATATTAAAAAAAAAAATAAATGATGATAATGAGTAAAATCTTAAGTTCAACCCCACTCAAGATATGATGCATGACTTCATTATCTTTTCACCTCTTTGATCTTTAACCACCAAAATTTAATAAGATCAATTATCCAATATACAAACCTTCCTGCAAAATTTCAGAAATTTTTGACAAAAAGCACAGGAGTTAAGCTTCAAACAGGATGAACATAATCATGCTTTCACATATGCACACAAACACAAAAAAATCTATACATACAGAAAAAAAATACCAAATTTTTTGCATTTCTCAATGTTTCAAGGTTTGAGTCCAAAAATGTAAAAATTGTGGGGGGCCAATTTTTGATCAATCATAATACTTTTTCTGTTATATATAACAGCTGGGAAGGTAATAAACATAACATAATGAAGTCATAAATCAGTAATGAATACAAAGTATATTTATATCATATGCTTAAAATGGATTTCATTTTGTGCTTTAAAAACTTTATTAACTTGTGTATATCATATATCTTATGTTATTTTTTGAGATTATTGATATATGCTATTATTGATAACTAAACTATATAATATGTTTGATTACTGATATATAAGATAATATAAAAAATCTGAAACAGTATATAGGGATATTATGCTAATTGATGCAACTTGAAAATATGAAAGAGAACTCAAATTTTTGTAAAAATGTTCAATATTGGATCAGTTTGTATTTCCATATAATATAAACAAAATGGCAACATTTATGTTATATATCAAATTATTTTTAGGCTTCAATTTTAATTCATTAATGCTCAGAAAAGATCTACAATGTTTAGTTATTTGGTTAACAGTGGCATGTGGTGACATTTGATGATAGGGAAGCTGTTTTTCCATAAAAATTATAAACAAATACTGGAAATGACAAAAATAAACAGTTTATTTATTTTAATTCTAAAATAGATACATTGACATGAAATAAAGATATAAGAACTTGTTTATGAAAATAATCACACAATATGTATTTATATTTTAGAAAATACAAGGGACGTGGCATTTCCACAGCTTCCATGGACTGCATGCCACTGTTGGTTAATAATTTCTAGATTCTGATTAATTATAATTCTAGAATCATTGTAATACATGTTATATATAAGGATAATTATTTCTTTTGAAACTCTAGAATTGTGGCTTTTGTAATAACTAACATATTTATGCTGTATCTCACCATAAGTAGACCTAGGTCCTTAGGATCTAGAAGACCAAGATGTGGTTTAACTTATCTTTTCTGAATATTTGGTAAGTACCATTCAAGAAATTTTTCACATTCAGTGGAAATGTGATACTATTACATTCTTGAAACAGGAACTTCTCATAGAGATCTTGATATAACTATAACTATGGCCATTATTTCAGCATGTATAAATGAATAATAAAAAGTAGGCTTTGCATAAATTTTTTTCTTTGACATAATACAATAGATTGATTTTCAATGAATCACAAATAATCTCTATTGTGATGTATGATGTTTCAGATTGTCAGATAGGGTCAATCCATCTATTCATTTCATAGTAGATGAATATTTTATCACAGAAATTTAGATAATCATCAATTGTTTCATCGTCTCAACTTATTCACTCTTGTTTTTATATATTAAAAAGTAGTTATGATTAAACTGACAATACTCAGTATGATATAGAGAAGAATCTACTTGACAGATTGCAGTGAAAATTGATTACCTTAATAGGAACCAAGAAGAAAATTTGCAAATAAAAAAACATTTAATTAGTTGTCATGCCACCAGGTGGCATTGGTGCATTAATTAATAATGCATGTTATAACATGCTAATTTCTTGTGATATTGCAGCCACTCAAATGTGAGGTGCATGAAGCACAGTAGAAAGTGTGATGAGTTCCCTGTAATTGCTAGAAGGAATTGCAGAGGTATTTGCAAGAAAAACCAAGCATTGCTAGTGAACTTTTACCAAAATGGCAGGAATGCTGCTGCATTATGTCATTTTTTGTCTGAATATCATTGAAAGATTTAAGAAAAGGGCCTTTTGTCACTAGATGGCTGAAGAATAAGATAGAGAAATTTGAAGAAACAGGCAAGTTGGGTGTGACTCTGAATAGAGGCAGATGACCTGTTGCAATGAGCAATGTATATGATGTCTCACTTATAGTTACAGAAATTCTGTTGTAATCAGAGCTACCCATAATTAGTGCAACATATCCTGTCAACTGCAACTTCCATGGTTAATTGTCTATAAAATTCTACAGACCATCTTGAAATGGTATCCTTTTAACTAACATTCAAAGGGTGCATTCAAAGCAAACAGCACACCAACTTTGCTTTGCAATTTCTGGCAAGATTGATGGACTAAGGTACATTTTTCTTATGTGGAGATGTGAATACACATAATTGCCATATAAGAGAGACTTACACATCTGTATGCTATGTATGAAGTGCCCCTATAATCTATGTAACTGTATGGTGCAAGTTTGTCACAAACTTTATAATCAGACCATTTTTATTGAGATTATGCCTGAAGGCCCTAAGCATTAATTGGTGAATACAGCTTGTTGCTCAAATCTTTGCCACAAAGTTATCCTGGATTTGCAGGAAAGAAATTGCCTAGCTTCTATAACCTTCATGCAGAACTTATGTCACATGTACATGTTGCCATCCCATTTTGCACATTTGGAAACACAATTGTTGCATACCACATTTGCTGAGGACAGGTTAATTTCTCAAACATATTTTCTAATGCTTGGCTACCATGTTTTCCTAATCTAAACCCATGAATTTATGGTTGAGGTTATTTGAAAAGTAGTATCATTAATTAATTTAAAATAACTAAAAAACAAGAACTTTCACTAAAAGTTCTTAATAG